AAACAGACCCGCCCCATGGAGAGATGGGAGGCGGACCTCTTCAGCAATATGCTGACTTCGGAGAACGGTCGGGTGGCCCTACGGCACGCCTGGGTCACAGCCAGTCGATGGGGCGAAATCACCCTACGCCGGAAGGAGAATTTCATTCCCCACCCTCAAACCAAGGAAGCCCTCATTGTAGATTGGGGGGNCGCCTGGGTCACAGCCAGTCGATGGGGCGAAATCACCCTACGCCGGAAGGAGAATTTCATTCCCCACCCTCAAACCAAGGAAGCCCTCATTGTAGATTGGGGGGCCCTCCCAAAGACTTTCAAGATCGACCCCAACAGAGCGGCGCGATACGTAGTTATCGGGGGAGAAGATGCAAAGAGTATGAGAGGCGTCACCAAAGGAATGGTGGAGGGGGAAAGGCTCACAAAGTTAACCACAAGAGATATGGAAAACCTACTCCGCCCATTTGGCATGACAGCGCGTTCCATCAAAAGAGGAGCACTGGCGCAAGCAGCCGCAGCGGTGATCCAACACGATCTCAACCCTCGACTGCGGGCTCAGTTGGGGAAACACGCAGACCCTCTAGAGCCACCACGCAGCACAGCTCGCTACATAAGGCCGTGGGTCGCTTTGGTCAACAAATCCGCACACCTGACGGCATATATGTAGACGAGATGAGCAAATGGGCGAGGCATCCATGGGCTTATCCGGAGGGAGGGCAAGAGCAGGGACAGCTTTTTCAAGGGCACAGCATTTTGCGACGTACCCATCGCACACGGGTGGTTGATAAGAACGATGAAAGAAAGTTACCGTTACAACAGGTAGACGTGGATACTCTCTCATTGCACTGGATCCAGAACCAACACAAATCCAAGGCTCTGGAACGGTTTAACACAGTGTGGGACTTGGTCCAACAGCCAGCTAATTTCTAGGGCAAGGGGACGAGAGCCCCTCTTGAGGATGACAGAAGGAGTTGCCCGAGCGATGAAGAAGGCGGGCATTATTCGAACCGCATCAAAGCTACCCACTACCGGGCGGGCTGTGCCCTTTGCGGTAGTGGAGGAAAAACCGTCGGGCCCACGGCGCCGTTTCATAGCATGGTCAAAAGCAAAAAATGAACAAGAGAGCTACCAGGCTATGGCCCCTCTTGGGCAAATTTCCCGTTACCTGGGCGCGGTTTATGATGAAACAGCCGCCATTTTTGGTGTAAAGGCATCCTTCTTCCAGGTAGGCCTGCCAGCAGAGACACGCGGTAATTTCCGTTGTCACACGGAGAAGGGGGAGCTGGTCGACTTCACACGGCCCCAAATGGGGTATAAATGTAGTCCGGAAATCGTGCACACGATCTCAAGAGTTTTGGCGGGGGACCCCGAGGCTGTCAAACCGCGGTTCGCAGCCCCGCCGGAGCTAACGTTTCACGTGTGGATTGGGAATATTCGTATCACAGGGCCACGCAAGAGCGTAGAGCCGTGGGGGAACGCTATTATGGAATATATGCGTGGATGCGGTGCGACGGTGGGAGGGCACAAGGCTCCCACCATGCGTTATGAATTCATAGGAGTTTGTTTCGACCATACGGCTAGGACGGTTTCCCCCAGTGACAAAACGTTACGTAAATGAAAGGGGGGTCACACCCGTCCATAAGATGTCGGTTGGGGAATTGGAAAGCTTCACGTCACGTATGGTGTATGCAGCGGGGGTTCCGGGGGGTTCGCTTTTTCGGTATTATTTCTTCTTGAAAATGGTGAGCAGAAGACTTTCGCGCCTCAACAGAGGGTGGTAGAGGCCCATGGCCCGGCCGCTCTACCCCCTTTTGCCCTTAAGGTGGGGCTGGAATGGTTGGATGCTATACTGCAGAACAACCCTGTAAAACCCCGCGCGGTTTACCGACCTTAGGGACATTAGTGCCTGGCGCCTCTTTATATGGATGGGGCGCGCTGCTGTTTAAAGACAGCAAGGAAGTGTGGGCCACTGGGGGTGCGTGGGGAAAAGCGCCCCATATTATTGCACAGGCTGAAGCGAGGGCCTTCGTCTTGGCCTTGCTCGCTTTCAAGGGGAATTTGTCTATTACACTCCATTTGCGCATCGATAACACTACGGTAATGCATATTATGAGAAAAGGCAGCACGCATTCCGATGCCCTGGTGGGGAGGCAGGGCGCATCGACAGGGTTCTGCGGGACCAAGGCTTGAACGCCACATGGGGCTATGTCGCGTTGGAAAATAATCCTGCGGAGGGCACCTCGCGAGGAGCAAAGGGTTTGCCGACGGACATCGCGAACGGGTGGGACTTGCGAAGGGGAGCGCGGGAGGCGGGTTAAGGGCGCTTTCAGCACCTCCTTTTTGCCAGTTGACTACTGGCTTTAACTTCCTTATAAGGGGAAGGCCTTGAGGTTACTGGAAGCCCTCCGTCTATGTGAACCAGGGGCAAGGAGTTTCGAAATGGGATCTGGATAAAAGGCCTCGCTTACTCTCTCTCTCTCTCTTTTACTTAATAGGGGAAGGTAAGGTATAGACTATTCCCTCATGGAATTTTATGCAGCGTGACGTGGCTAAGTTTATGTTCGCTTGAGCCATTTCAAAGACACCATGCGTTGTTTTTCCCCTCGTCGATCCGGTGCTGATGGATAAGCTGTATTCCGTTTTAACGGGTCTTTCGTTGGAAGGGAAGCATCTGCTGTTTAGAGCTTCAGAAGTTGCGATAATACATTGTCATATGTTTCCTGTTTTATGGCCGCGGCGTGCGAAGTGGGGCCCTCCTCTCTCTCTTCCCTGGGGGCTCTTGGTATGGCTCGGTCTGCTTTTTGGACCGCTTTATCAAGTCCATCAGGGTGCTTGCATTCCATATGAACATTCATTGCCCCAGCATTGCCAATGACACATGCACACACACACACACACACACACACATACACACACGATGATCACGAAGATAATACGGTGTCCCAGCTAGGCACGTCTGGTCCTGACACTGTGCGATACAGTGAGCATAGCTCCGCAAAAGTTCTCCAAGAGGCGAACCTTTGCTGGTGTTTGATTTCCTGCAGAGAATACGGGTCGCGCTTAACCCTGGCACCGCGATGAGATGACAGGCATCACCGGGCAGGACGAAAAGTCTTTTTCAAAGTGGTGAACTTGTAAAGGTGCTTGGCCTCTACGGGTGCGCGTATACTCACTGCCTCGGGGATATGTGCCCCGCTAATAATGCGCTTAGTTTTAGTGGGCTTTCGTGTCCTCTGGAAGAGTGAGTCATACCTTCAAAAAAAAAAATAGACGGCTTCTCAGGAGACTATTATACAAGGACCCGCCTTTCCATTTGTCATTGTTCCCCGTGAATATGTTTTCTTCTTGTGTCGTTGCAAGTATTTTCAAATTGTACGAAATAAAGAAGAAGCTCGCTTCTTTCTTTTTTGCCATCAGACCCACCGCAAACTTCCCTTCCTCACCGCGGAGTCGTGTGAATCGGGGGATCCCAACAACTACTGTTTCGTAAGTCTGCGGAAAACGGTGTGACTCAATCTCCCTTCTGTTGCCGTGTCTGCTCGCATTGTAGATGAGGGACGTCTGTAAGTTGTTTCCTTCCTCTTTTGCCTCTTTCTCTCTTTATAGATCCAAGAACACAGCGACCACACAGCGCATATTTTCTTTCACAGAGCCATGAAGAATACAGGCAAAAGCAAGCAGAAACGTGCCTTCTCGAACGACGTTCCTCCTCCTCTTGCGCAGGGACATCTGCCTGACGAATCCCATCGGACATTCGGAGGCTCCCCCGTCCAGTCCGATAACGTGGTTTTGGCCGACGAGCGTAATATACTGGCGGGAGAGGTGTCGGCAATGGAGAATAAAAAGGCACACTTACAGGAGGAACTGAAGAGACAGCAAAACTCTGGTGACATCGGATTGAAAGCTTGTGCCGTTGGCAGTATGAAATTCCTTCCCACGGAGGAGCTGGGCGGCATGTGCGAGATTCGTATTGTTGGGAAAGTGCTTGGAGATAGCGACCTGAAGGCTCTCTACACATCTAAAGCGCTTACCCGAATACACATTTCCAAGTGCAGTGGCGTCTGTGACGTGCAGCTGCTGGCTGGCTTCAAGCAACTACAGGAGCTGCACTTGGAAGTTGATGGTGAGATACGGAACATGACCTCACTCAGTCAACTACCAGAACTGAGAAAGCTATCANACACATCTCAAGCGCTTACCCGAATAAACATTTCCAATTGCAGTGGCGTCTGTGACGTGCAGCTTCTAGCTGACTTGAAGCAACTACAGGAGCTGCACTTGGAAGTTGATGGTGAGATACGGAACATGACCTCACTCAGTCAACTACCAGAACTGAGAAAGCTATCAATGAGCAACACAAACATATATGATAGCGATGTGCGTCACCTGGGTATCCTCCAAAAATTGGAGGAACTCTCTCTTCGAAACTGTTCCCGGGTGACAAGCTGTCAGCGTATCAGTCAACTTCCACTCCTTCGGGTGCTTGATCTGAGCTTTACCGGAGTAACCGATGAAGGACTGATCGACCTCGGTGCGAGTCGCAGTCTTGTTAGGATTGGACTGTCGAATTGCAAGCACCTTACAGATGTGTCTCCTCTCGCATCTGTGAGCACTCTTGAGGAAGTGGTTCTTCGTGACTCACGATATGTGAGGAATGTCGGGTCCCTTGGCGAGCTGCCCAAACTGCGCGTGCTTGATTCGTGCAATACTGCCATCACAGATGATGAACTGAAGTGCCTTTCTGCGAGTCGCAGTCTTGTTCAAATTGACCTAGAAAACTGCAGATACTTGACAGACGCATCTCCTCTTGCGTCCATCAGTACACTTGAGAAGCTGAACCTTTGTGATTGTGGAGGTGTGACAACTGTTGGTGCCGTTGGACTGCTTCCTGTGCTGCGTGTGCTTGACTTGGACTCCACTGCCATCACCGATGATGAGCTGCGTAGCCTCTCTGCGAGTCGGAGCCTCGTGACGGTTGACCTTGGAAACTGCGAACGCCTGACCAATGTGTCTCCTCTTGCATCCATCGAGACGCTTGAGTGGATAGGGCTTTCTGGTTGCAAAGGTGTGACGACCGTTGGTGCCATTAGCATGCTTCCTGCGCTGTGTGTGCTTGAGTTGGACTCGCCTGCCATCACAGATGAAGACCTTCGTTCCCTTTCCACGTGCCGCAGCCTCGTGAAGTGTAAGTTGGGAAGCTCCAAGTACCTTACAAATGTGTCTCCTCTCGCATCCATCAAGACACTGGAAGAGGTGAACCTACATTGGTGCAAAGGCGTGACGACTGTTGGTGCCCTTGGCGAGCTGCCTGTCCTGCGCGTGCTTGAATTGGGCTTCACCTCTGTCACAAGCGAGGGGCTGAAGGGTCTCAGTGCCAGTACAAGCCTCGTGAGGATAGACCTCCAAAACTGTAGATGCGTGACGGACGTCTCTCCTCTTGCATCTATTGGCACGCTTGAAGAGGTGAACCTACATTGGTGCAAAGGCGTGACGGCTGTTGGTGCCCTTGGGATGCTTCCTTTACTTCGCGTGCTTGATTTGGAATCCACTCCTGTCACCGATGAGGGTCTGTGCGGTCTCGGTGCAAGCCAGAGCCTCGTGAAGATCAATGCAGCAGAGTGCGAGTGTCTGACAGACGTTTCCTCTCTGACATTGATTAAGACCCTTGAGGAGGTGAATCTGTGCGATTCTAGAGGGCTGAGGGACGTTGGCGTCATTGGCACACTGCCTTTGCTACATTCATTTAATTTGGGCTGCACTACAATCATCAATAAGGATATAAATTCTCTCTCTTCGAGTCGAAGCCTCGTGAAAATGGTTCTTCGAAGCTGTAGGCGCCTGACCGATGTGTCGTCTCTTGCATCCATCAGGACGCTTGAGGAAGTGGTTCTTCGTGGGTGCAGCAATGTGACGACCTTTAGTGCCCTTGGAGAGTTGCCTGTGCTGCGTGTGCTTGATTTGACCGCTTCTGGCATCACAGATGAGGGGCTCAGCGGCCTGGGTGCGAGTCGCAGTCTTGTGAAGATTGACCTTACTTTCTGTGAGCGGCTGAGAAATGTGTCGCATCTTGCGTCGATCAGCACACTTGAAGAGGTGAACCTGTTTGGGTGTAGAGGTGTGACGACTGTTGGTGCCCTTGGAAGGCTGCCTGGGCTGCGTGTGCTTGACGGGTATGACACTGGCATCACAGATGATGGGCTCAGGGGGCTGAGTGCGAGTCGCAGTCTTGTGAAGATTGAGCTTGCAGAATGCAAACGTTTCACAGATGTGTCTCCTCTTGCATCCATCGAGACGCTGGAAGAGGTGAGTCTTCGTGAGTGTACAGGTGTGACGACTGTTGGTGCCCTTGGCAGGCTGCCTGGGCTGCGTGTGCTTTCTTTGAAATCTACTGCCGTCACAGACGAGGAGTTGCAGGGTCTCAGTGCGAGTCGCAGCCTTGTGAAGATTGGACTCGAAAACTGCAAGCACCTTACAGATGTGTCTCCTCTCGCATCCATTGAGACGCTGGAAGATGTCGAACTTGGTTTTTGTCCCATGGTGAGTGGTGTCAATGCCCTTGGCAGGCTACCTATGCTGCGTCTGCTTGATTTATATTCTACTCCTGTCAATGAAGCGGAATTGACGTCGTTTAGCACGCGGGTAAAAATACAGAGATGAATACTATCCTCAGAAAGCCATGCTCTTTTTGCTTTGAAGTGGTTTTTTTTTTGTTATTACTGTGGTGTAAAGTTTTTTTTTCTCTGTGGTCGCAGTATACCATTGGGATATGTGTGGTTTGGTTCATGATTTTGTGGTGCCACCCTTGGTGTGAGCTGTGAGCTGCGGTGCCCGGCACATTATTCTGCTCTGCGCCGGGTTCCTCTTGGGTGAGAAAAGACACACATACTCATTGTTGTTTGGGCCAAAAGCACGGAAGAAAATTTTTTGGGGGCGATGTCCAGTTGCGAATCTTTTATGCGCTTCATGGGTAAAACAGCTGGAGGTGTAATAAAATACGGTTTCTTGATTTTTCAGTTTCTTGCTCGTTGCATTGGGAGGGCATTTTTGAGCGAAAGAAGGGCCTCATTTGTTGTTTTTTAAAAGAAAAAAAAGTAATTATTGCTCCTACCTGGTTGTAGTTCTCTTAATGGCGACAACAGCGCGTGGGAACTAACAATTCGACATGTGAAATGGGAAGGTGCTCTCTCACTGAAGAGAACGATGTGGGCTGAGCCATGCGCTTATTTGTTTGCGTCCCGTTATACCTGCCACTTTATGCTTGTCACTCTTTTTTGGTGTGGTCTTCTATTCGAGCAGGCAGGAGAAGGAGCTCCGCGGCTCTTTTGTCACTCCGGACTGCGCAACGCAGATCCCCCATGCTATGTGTTGTGGGGTGCCTGAAGTTCGACTGGCGCCACTATGCCTTGNTATGACTCCTCCGCTTGGAATGTGATTCAATCTCTTGAGGGAGGTGTGTGCCAACCATCTCTTTTTGTTTTGTTGATGAATGCGAGGAGAGCACTGTATTCCTGCTGCAATGCCTTCCAACCATTTAGCAGACCCCGAAAAACATTCGTCATTATGGCAACATCCATGCTCTGATTCACCGCCACCTCGCTATACCAAACTGGAGTGTGACAGCTCTGAGACAGGGATCCACAATAACTCCAGACGTTTGTGTGGGCTCGTGGGAGACATATGTAGCTCTGTGCTTCCTTCTCCTTTATGGTTATGTAGGCTATGCTTCCCATGCCTCTTGCAGCTGTTTGACATGCCAATTCCACTCGGGTAATGCACCTTTCATTGCCTGTCGTCAGTAATCACAAGTGGCGTCGTCATTCAGATGCATTGCCCACCGAAGCATGATGTGTGTGTGTGTGTGTGTGTGCTTTTAGCTTTTGAATTCGTCCGGAGGGAAACAAGTCTAGTTGAGTGGGAAAGTGTGTTGAATTATTGCT